TCTCTGTGTCTATATGTACCTGTGTCTCTCGGTGTCTCTATGTACCTGTGTCTCTGTGTCTCTATATGTACCTGTGTCTCTCTGTGTCTAAATGTACCTGTGTCTCTCCGTGTATATATGTACCTGTGTCTATATTATGTCAGTACTGTATCTCTGTGTCAGTATTCTCTATTTCCTGTATTTTTGGGTCCTCATTCATCATTAAAAAAATGAATTATTGAATTGATGAAGCCATAATCATCACAGATGACGAGTATCGTTTTTTAGTTTCACATTTGAAATACAGAAATAAATAACTTTTGACTGAATTTCACCTGTTGTTCCATTAGTGTGAATCTTATGACCCCGGCTGAACATATTTAAAGGAGCAATACGTAAAAATCTGGCCAAAAGTGGACACACCCTGACTCAGGTTGCCAGATATGTACACGAATCCAGCTGGGACCACAACAGCTGAATAGACAAGAGTTTTGTCAACAACAAATCTATAACAACACCTTTTTCACAAAGATAGAAATCCTGGTTTTATTCCTCGTTTTGTCATTAAAGATTTGAGAATCATAATGAGACCTTTTTTAGTACAGTGGCCACATGGTACTTTACCAGTGAGATTAGCTCCACGCGGTGAGTTCTGGCAACCTGGAACATGGACTTTCTGATTGGTGAAACGGTGCAGGGCGGGACATCGAAAATGAAAAGAATAACAATATTTACAAGCCTTAAATCCAATTTTGAATCAACTTTTATCAGTCCAATTTTATTAATGCCTTTGGACAGATTTGAGTTTTTTAATGATGTCTTGATATGAAAATCTTACAAATTGCTACTTAAACCTGTCTTGCGTACTTTCATTTCCGATTGCTCGCTCGACACGATCTCAGTTGTTTAGCGCGGAGTCAAAGTCAGTGAGAAAAACCAATCTAAAAACCCCCGTCTTCCATTACTCGCGCCAAATGTCAAGTGAAACCAAACGGGGGACGGTGAGGGTAGGATATTCATCATTGTATTTCCTTGTCTAAATGCCGCTGTGATTTGCCTGGTTATGTCATCTCTGGCGGGTCCAGCGGGATAATGGATGGACCCTCGTAAAATGTGACAGTCGCCCGGTCCCAGGAACGGCAGAAAATGGATCCATAAAGATGTACACCTGCTCTGGCGTCAGTCTGCGCGACAAGGACGAAGCAAAGTGTGCGGAAACCGGGTCGGAACAGGGTTTTTTGATGAAATGGAGCTGTAAATTCAACGGTCTGGATTCAAGTCCGAAGGCCAATCACTGTAGAACGCAGCCCATTAGTGCGAGTGGATGTCTTATGGGTAATTGTGCTTGTTTGAGGAGATTTCTAAATGTGTTTTTGAGTCGCTGGCGTTATCCAGAGAACACAGCATTAGTGGTAATAGTTGTTACCTGAGATCTAAGCCATTTAAAATACTCTTTTGTGTAGCCCTGAATCACAACCGCAGTCGTCTTGGAGAACTATACAAAAATAGCACTTAAAACAGAGTCAAAGAGTCCGAACACAGGAAAGGTAATCATCACAAACACATATGAGCCATCGGTCCATAGGTAGCGGGATGACCAATCAATAAACAATACAAGTAAGAAAGTAATGTTTATTTATATAGCGCCTTTCACAGACCAGATCACAAATCTCTTCACAATTAAAACATACAAAAAAAGTACACATACAAGTCAGTTCCAAACAGCAAATATACAGAATAATGTGTGTGCACCATGTGCACTTGTATATTGTAAATAGTAACTGTAACTCTATTTTAAATTTAAATTTATTCTTTAGAAGTGTTTTTTTTTATTCTTATTTTTATTATCTCTTTTTGACTGTTGCACTGAGCCAAAGCAATTTCCTAGTCTGTGACCTCCTGTTACTTACGTGGCAATAAAAATGATTCTGATTCTGATTCTGATAATCACGAACACACGGGTCTATGTACAGGGGGCAAGGGAGCCTGCTTCAAGGACAACTAAACACCAAATCAACTTCTCACAAACTGCATAAATGTTTCTTATAGTGCTCTCTACATGTCCTGGTCATTTTCTTTCACATTTTTGTACAAATCAGATAAAATCTCACTTTTGAGCCTGAAACTGTCTTTGTGGCGCCCTCTCTAGCTATTCTTTGGCACTACATTTGAATTTGGTCCTGGCCTCTCCATTGACTCTGTATTTCTGTGTGACGTCAGTTGGTGTGTGTGACGTCAGTTGGTGTGTGTGACGTGCGTCTGTCTGCGCCAGTGATATAAACCCATTCAACTCTCACACACGCCCCAGCTGCAGGTTGGAGTATTCTGGCGACATCTAGTGGTTTGATATTAAATCACATCAGTTGACCGCCACCACTACTGAGATGATTCTGTGGCTTGGGTTCAGATATGTAGCTTTACAATGATCTTAGTGTGTAAACCAGGCTGGAATGAGACTTTCTGGTCTGTAAACTACTGCTTTAAGCAGCAATGACAACTGTCTGTTTTTATTTGTGTGACATGTGAGCTGTCAATCACAGCCCAGATTACGCCCAACTCTAAGCCCTCCTTCTTGTCCCCTGGTCCTCGGGCAACACCCTTTTTAGAAAAAATGTTCAAATGTTCATGTGGGCGGAGTAAGGCTGAGCACAGGTGTTTAGTCGCTCCTTTTTAACAAAAAGGTCTTGAGGTGTGACTTAAAATTGTCCACTGACTTTCACATGCCCAGAGACTGTAAACTAATGTTATATTATATCTATTTATTGTTCAGGACAGTGCATGTTAATGAACACACCTCTCCAGATCGTAGCCTTGAGCTGATTTGCCTCCGTTGTTCCACAGTTGCACTTACAACCACTCACTCATTTACCCTCAAATACTGTACATGCTTTTAGTGGTCGAGCAAACCGGAGCACAAGGAGGAAACCTACACAGAGACAACATACAAACTCCAAACAGAGAGGTCAGGGGGTGGAATCGAACCAAGGATCTTCTCCCAGTTTTGTACACAGGAGCAGATTCAGTAACTGTTTCACTTAAACACCTGTGCCCAGCCTTACTTCCCCCACATGAAGATTTGAACATTTTCTCTTAAAAGGGCGTTGCCCGAGGACCAGGGGACAAGAAGGGGGGCTTAGAGGTGGGCTATGATTGACAGCTCACCAGTCACAAAAAAAAAAAACAGACAGTTGTCATTGCTGCTTAAAGCAATAGTCTACAGACCAGAAAGTCTCATTCCAGCCTTGTTTACACACTAAGATAATTGTGAAGCTACACACCTGAATCTAATCCACACAATTATCTCAGAATCACTCCTGTAATTTCATTTTAAACCACCAGATGTCGCCAGAATACTCCAACCTGCAGCTGGGGCGTGTGTGAGAGTTGGATGGGTTTATATCACTGGCGCAGACAGACGCACGTCACACACACCAACTGACGTCACACACACCAACTGACGTCACACACACCAACTGACGTCACACAGAAATACAGAGTCAATGGAGAGGCCAGAACCAAATTCAAATGTAGTGCCACCAAAAAATTTAGAGAGGTTTTTTTGGCTCAAAAGTGAGATTTTATCTAATTTGAACAAAAATGTCAAAAAAATGACCAGCATATGTAGAGAGCACTACAATTAACATATTTATGCAGTTTATGAGTAAAAAAACGTTGATTTGATGTTTAGTCGTTCTTTAAGAACAGACAGATTCAGCAAAGGGCGCTGTGTGACATAAACAATAAATACTTTTGAAAGATAATATATACTAAGACAAATTAGTTGTATATCATTGTTCCCTTGATTTCAATGGCCTCTTTACGGATCAAAGAAGCGATTGAACTCAGGAAGCAGAGAAACAGCGTCAACAACCGGGACGAGGGAGCCTTCCTCCTGTCGCACACATGCACAGCTAAACAAAACAGTTCTAACCTGGATTTGAACATCGGCCGCAGAAGACTGTCCCATGTTTACAGCAAAATTGTTCTAGATTTTAGCACCATGAATCTTGAATCTGGTATGTTGTCTCTACATGTTTGGTTTCTTTTCTTTCTTTTTATTTTGTGAATGTGAAGCACTTTTGGCAGCTGTGTGTGAGTCCAACTCTTGTCAGTGGTCGACGCCAGACTCCAGCCGTGCGACCGCATCACCTCTTAACCGACTTTCACTCCAACATTCAATTCCGTCTGTGGAATGACTGGGATTACTGGGCCCTTCATGGTCCGGATTAATTTCTGAAGAGTCTTTTGTTGAGATTTAATGAACGCCGCCATTTTGACCTTCCCAAAGAGAACGCTCTGTGCATTAGACCGGATTTGACGGTGAATGAGTTATCTCCTCTGTGACATCTCGGACCAAAGCGTTGGTGGTTCCAGCTTCTCCAATTACACCCACACACACACACACACTGTCCCGTATGTAAAGAAAGATTTATTCATCTGTGCAATAATGTCAGAACGTGCAATACAGAACCACATGTGTCCACTGTCCAGAGATTTGATACTAGCGTCTTTATTATGCTAAAGCTAGTGATTTGATACTAGCTTCTTTATTATGCTAAAGCTAGTGATTTGATACTAGCGTCTTTATTATGCTAAAGCTAGTGATTTGATACTAGCTTCTTTATTATGCTAAAGCTAGTGATTTGATACTAGCGTCTTTATTATGCTAAAGCTAGTGATTTGATACTAGCTTATTTATTATGCTAAAGCTAGTGATTTGATACTAGCTTATTTATTATGCTAAAGCTAGAGATTTTATGCTAGCTGCTTTATTATGCTAACGTTAGAGTTTTTATACACTTTCTTTATGATGCCAAAGTTGGAGATTTTATTTTATTACTAACAAGTTCATATTTAATCACATACATTTTCCCTTAAGCAAAGGCTGATTTTAACAGATTTTTTCATGTTTGTGTAATCGTGTGTTGTGGATTCTGATCTCGTAAACTCTGTAAACTCCAGAGATTTCCGGAGGCAGCCGGTGACGCAGATGTTCCGGATCGTCGTCCGCTCAGTGACGTTCAGCACTTTATTTTGTAGTAGAGTTTAACCCCCAGTTTTTGGCACCATCGAAAGCCGCTCTTTAGCCCCGTCACACAGTCCATGAGCATATGGTTCCTGCTGGACTTGCTCTGTTTCCAAACCATGAATGCGACTTTAGAAGATCCTTTGGGAATAACATGCTGCCGTTAGGTCAGTTAATACGCAGAAACGAAGTTTCCTATCATAACTATGCAGACGACACTCAGATCTATGTCTCACTGACTGCAGGAGAACATGGACCAGTGGACTCACTCCTTCACTGTATCCAACAGATCAGTGAGTGGATACAAAACAACTTCCTTCAGCTAAACACAAACAAAACTGAAATGATTGTCTTTGGTCCCCAGAAACAAAGAGAGCGTCATCTGTCACCTACAGTCTCTCTCCCTAAAACCTTCAAACAAGGTCAGAAATCTAGGGGTAATACTGGACTCAGACTTAAATTTTAATCGCCACATCAAATCAGTAACATCAGCAGCTTTTTACCATCTAAAAAACATTGCCAGGATCAAAAACATAGTGTCTAAAGCAGACCTGGAGATTCTTATCCATGCATTTGTCTCCAGTAGGTTAGACTACTGCAATGGCCTGCTCACAGGTCTGTCCAAACAGGCTGTAAAACAGCTGCAGTACATTCAAAATGCAGCAGCTCGAGTCCTGACAAGAACCAGGAAGTACGACCACATTAGTCCAGTCCTCAGGTCTCTGCACTGGCTTCCTGTGGCTCAGAGAATAGACTTTAAAACAGCTCTGCTTGTGTACAAGTCTCTCCATGGCCTCGCACCAAAATATGTTAGTGACATGTTAGTCCCATATGAACCAGCCCGGACTCTGAGGAGCACAGGGACTGGACTCCTGTTAGTGCCCAGAGTCAGAACTAAACATGGGGCGGCTGCTTTTCAGATTCATGCTGCTAAAATCTGGAACAATCTTCCTGAAGATGTGAGACAGGCCTCCTCTCTGACAATGTTTAAAACCAGGTTAAAGACAGTTCTGTTTGGCTGTGCATACAACTGAGGGATTTTATATTTTTATCTTTCTTTTTAATGTTCTGTGATTATTTAGGATTTTAATGCTTTCTTATTTTGTTCAGCACTTTGAATTGCCTTGTGTATGAATTGTGCCAGTGTCTCCCAAAGTGGGGTCCGCGGCCCCCTGGTGGGCCGCGAGGGTACTGCAGGGGGGCCGCGGGAGGTCATAAAAAATAATAATAATAATATAATTATTTAATGTTAAATTTATAATGTTTTGTTTGTAATATTAAAATATTTGTGTTCATTATTTGACTTGAATAATCCACTGTAATCATTTTTGTATTACAATGTTTGTAGCAGAGGCTATTTCCCCAAAATAAAATAACCAGAAGAGCCTATTCTTAATGTTGTCTTCTTGGTTATTATTTTGGGGGGCCACGCAGACCCGTCAGATTTTTAAGGGGGCCTCGGTGTTACTGAGTTTGGGAATGGCTGAATTGTGCTATACAAATAAACTTGCCTCGCCTTGCCTTGCCTTTGGGAATCTTGAACTCTTCTCTCCATCTGGGTGTTCTGGTCTTTTTCTTCACCTGCGTCTTTCGAAATCTCCCCGGCAGGAAGTACGAGGGTCTGGGCGTCACCTGCGACTCACAAGAGAGTGACAAAAGTAAGAAAAGTGGAAGTTTGTGAAAAATTGTTCAGTGAAAGAGATCTCACCGTGACGTAGGTGCTCGGGAAGGTCGCGTTCCCTTTGGCCTGAAATGATTCACGAGTGTTATTGTCAACTGGAACTGGAAAGAGGTTTTCCTTGTTATTATTGTCATCGTTGCACTCAGCCTCGGCCCTGAACCAGTGCAGTGATTGTACTTTTACTTGACCACAGATTCAGGCAGAAAACAACTTTTTCTAATTTGACTGGAGGAATTCAGTTATCTTTTCCATTCTCCAGAGAATAAAGAGTCTGTTTTGCAGTTGTGTTTCCAAAGCAACACAATGTGGAGAGACACCTCAGATTGAGCTTCATTCTTCAGGATGGACCTTTGGATTTATTTATCATTCACATAATGATGAGCTTTGCTTTGAGCTGATCATTTTTTAACCTGAAAGTCTTTTTAGCATAGTCCTAAAGGTGAGGAACAGTGTGTCCTGTGTCGTCCGTCTCTTCTCCAGTGTCCAACTTGGAGCGACTGCGCAGGCCCCGAGGAGTTTGATCTGTGTCCCCGAACTTATGAAAGGGACTGGACCAGGATCTCGCTCCTGAAGGTGGTTTAGCCTCCAGTGCGACGAGAGGCCAGTGCACATTCAGCAGAAGTGCCGACTCTTTTGTCTTTGAGGAAAACACGTGGAACTTGGTGAAAACGTTTCTTCAAATTAAACAAAGAAACTTGGAGGAAAGTTTCTTTGTGGAGAATAAGAATGTACAGATGTAGCTTCAGCAAAGCCATGTCTACTTCCTCATTCCTGTCCAATCCTCTCCTCTCCCACCAGATAGACTCCTATCACGTCTGTCTCACCTCACATCACTGTGTTTTAAGTCCTAAAAACAGACTTTGTAACTATATTCACTGATGTTTATGTGAATACTTCTATAACTGTCCTACCTTGACGTCATCGTGTTCTGGGGATAAAACGGCTGAGACGACTTCCACCTTCATGTCTTTCCCCTTGCAGTTCTTGGCGTGGGCAGAGTAGAGCGCCACCCCCAGGAGAAGCAGGATCACTGCAGCTGTCTTCATCTCTGCACTGGTGTCCCGCTGCCCCTGAACGCCTCTTATAGTCAGGCCTGGAGCCTGGGGCTGTTTACTGCACAGACCTCCGCCCCCTGTGCTTTTGGGGAAGGTGTCTGTCTGCATTCTGTCACAGGGTGGAACCAGATCATGGTATTCCTCCTTATTTGTGTTTTTAACTTTTATTTATGTTAAAATCCATGCTCTATACACTTTTATTTACAACATGGAGTCCTTTAATGAACTCCACTGGTCAAAATTGTGTTTTGTCTGGATCTGTAAATCTCAGGTCCCTGTGAAGCTGCAGGGAAACAGACAGGACTTGTGTATGATTCTTTGGGGCCGGAAGTGGACAGGCTGTTTAACTTCATCTTTTGCCTCTATGAATGTTTTTAGGGATAATTACTTTTATTCATGGTTGTATACATTTTTTTTTTGTATGCGCTGGAAACAGCAGCGAGTCCTCAGTGTCTTTGACAATGACAATTGTTTTTTTTCTTGCTTTTTTCTGCCTGAGATGTTGCTGCAGTACAGTGCTCATGGTTTTACACTGGTCCACACCAGAGCAGAGGATTCATGGTCAAAACCAAGCGGATCAGGCGAAAATCCACTGGAGGAATGCTAACTTTTTGAAAAATGCTAATGAAGAATTCAGCATTTTACTTTGGACCAGAGCAGAGAAGATGGTTCATACCAAGCGGCTGCTCTCCCTCTGCTGCTGGGACCTGATTCAAGATGGCGCCTCGTACGGTCGACATGGCTCTTTGCTGCTCTCTTTTTCTTTTGTTTTTACTTTTTAACTGTGCATCTGGCTGTTCCTACACCCGTGAGGAACTTATGAACATCCGACCCACCGTTCCCATGGACCTATTGCCTGTTTTCTTGGCATCTGCGGCTGATTTAGTTCATGTTCTAGCCAAAAAAGTGTGGGCCCGTAAAAGGGGAAAGCGAGGAGGCCTGCTCGTGCGTCTGAGGAGGAGAGGAGCGCACGGCTCTCCCCGGCATTTTTCTCTCCAACGTACGCTCACTGGGCAATAAGATGGACGAACTCAGCCTGCTCATGAGAAGAAACAAGGACTTCGCCACATCCTGTGTCCTCTGCTTCACTGAGACCTGGCTAAATGAGCGGATCCCGGACTGCGCTCTGGAGCTGCAGGGCTTTGGGCTGTTTCGCGCGGATCGCCATTGTGCGCTCTCAGGGAAGAGCAGAGGCGGAGGGCTCTGTTTCTACGTCAATACAAACTGGTGTAACGATGTGACAGTGATCTCCAAGCACTGCTCTCCTGCTCTGGAATATCTTTTCATTCATTGTAAACCATATTACTCCCCGCGGGAAATTGTTTCATTCATTCTTGCCTCTGTTTACATACCGCCATGCGCGGACGCGCGCGAGGCTCAGCGCGCACTCGCAGAGCAAGTACTGTGTATGGAACGCTTATACCCGGACTCTCTGATTATTATCCTGGGGGATTTTAATAAGGGAAACTTGAGCCAGGAATTACCCAAATACAGACAGTTTATCAAATGCCCGACCAGAGAGGAGAACACTCTGGATCACTGTTACACCACCGTGCGCGGAGCTTTTCGCGCTGTTCCCAAGCCAGCCCTCGGCTTCTCAGATCACTCCATGATACATCTGGTTCCTGCTTACAGACAGAGACTAAAGCTCTCGAAACCTGCAGTGAGGAGCTCCAAAGTGTGGTCTGATGAAGCTGTGGAAGAGCTACGCGCATGCATGGAATCTACAGACTGGGACCTTTTCAGAGCTGCCACAGACAGCTTGGATGAATATACGGACACTGTGACGTCATACATCCACTTCTGTGAGGATAGCATCATTCCAACAAGGACCAGGGTCATCTATAACAACGACAAACCCTGGTTCACTGCTAAACTCCGGCAGCTCAGGAAAGCAAAGGAGTCTGCTTTCAGGGAGGGGGACCGCAGCGGCTACAAAGCAGCTAAATATCAGTTCAGGAAAGAACTGAAAGGCAAGGCAAGGCAAGGCAAGTTTATTTATATAGCACAATTCATACACAAGGCAATTCAAAGTGCTGAACAAAACAAGAAAGCATTAAAATCATAAATAATCACAGAACATTAAAAAGAAAGATACAAATATAAAATCCCTCAGTTGTATGCACAGCTAAACAGAACTGTCTTTAACCTGGTTTTAAACATTGTCAGAGAGGAGGCCTGTCTCACATCTCCAGGAAGACTGTTCCAGATTTTAGCAGCATGAATCTGAAAAGCAGCCTCCCCATGTTTAGTTCTGACTCTGGGCACTAACAGGAGTCCAGTCCCTGTGCTCCTCAGAGTCCGGGCTGGTTCATATGGGACTAACATGTCACTAATATATTTTGGTGCGAGGCCATGGAGAGACTTGTACACAAGCAGAGCTGTTTTAAAGTCTATTCTCTGAGCCACAGGAAGCCAGTGCAGAGACCTGAGGACCGGACTAATATGGTCGTACTTCCTGGTTCTAGTCAGGACTCGAGCTGCTGCATTTTGAATGTACTGCAGCTGTTTTACAGCCTGTTTGGACAGACCTGTGAGCAGGCCATTGCAGTAGTCTAACCTACTGGAGACAAATGCATGGATAAGAATCTCCAAGTCTGCTTTAGACACTATGTTTTTGATCCTGGCAATGTTTTTTAGATGGTAAAAAGCTGCTGATGTTACTGATTTGATGTGGCTATTAAAATTTAAGTCTGAGTCCAGTATTACCCCTAGATTTCTGACCTTGTTTGAAGGTTTTAGGGAGAGAGACTGTAGGTGACAGATGACGCTCTCTCTTTGTTTCTGGGGACCAAAGACAATCATTTCAGTTTTGTCTGCGTTTAGCTGAAGGAAGTTGTTTTGCATCCACTCACTGATCTGTTGGATACAGTGAAGGAGTGAGTCCACTGGTCCATGTTCTCCTGCAGTCAGTGAGACATAGATCTGAGTGTCGTCTGCATAGTTATGATAGGAAACTTTGTTTCTGCGTATTAACTGACCTAACGGCAGCATGTAGAGATTGAACAGAAGAGGTCCCAGGATCGACCCCTGTGGGACTCCACAGGTCAGGGCCATATGATCTGAGACACAGTTTCCAATCTCCACAAAGTACTTCCTGTCCTCAAGGTAAGACCTAAACCAACTTAGGGCGGTGCCAGCGACTCCAACCCAGTCCTCTAATCTCTGTAAGAGGATCTCATGGTCGACGGTGTCAAAGGCAGCACTTAGATCTAACAAGATTAAGATTGAGACTTTGCCTGCGTCAGTGTTCAGCCGGATATCGTTTGTAACCTTGACGAGAGCAGTCTCAGTGCTGTGGTGGGGTCTAAAGCCGGACTGAAACATATCAAATGAGTTGTTGATTATAAGAAATCTAGTAAGCTGTAGGTAGACAACTTTTTCAAGGACTTTCCCCATAAATGGCAGATTTGAGATGGGACGATAGTTGTTAAGTACCGTAGCATCGAGACTGCTCTTTTTTAGCAGGGGCCTGATGACTGCAGTTTTCAGGGCCTTTGGGAATATTCCAGAATGAAGGGACATGTTTACTATCTGTGTGAGTGAAGGTAACAGACTGCTCAGAACAGACTTCAGAAATCTAGTGGGTAGTACATCCAAGCTGCATGTGGAGGAGCTCAAACTGGAGATTATCTCTTGGACAGTTTTATCATTTACAGGTGCAAAGTGAGTTAGCTCAGAGAGCCTTTCTGGCTGTTGGATGGTTATCTGTGGATTGGAGACAATGGCGTTTTTGATGCCTTGAACCTTGTCATTGAAAAAAATTAGCAAACTCATTGCATTTACGTTTGGAAGTAAGCTCTAATGGCATTTGAACAGGGACTGGCATTTGAACAAGCAGCCAAGTCCCGGCACAGAGAACGACTACAGGAGCAGTTTGGTAACAACGATACTGCTTCTGTCTGGAGGGGCCTACGGGAGATCACCAACTACAAACCCAAAGCCCCCCCCTGTGCTGATGACCACAAGCTAGCTGACGATCTGAACTTATTTTTCAGTCGCTTTGATGCTGCCCCTGACACCTCTCCCTCCCCCACCCCCCACTACTCTAACGACCCACCCATCAGCCCTGCCCCCAGCCTAACAATAGCCGCTAAAGAGATTAAACAACTCTTCCTGAGGCTGCACCCCCGCAAAGCTCCTGGCCCGGACCACGTGTCTCCGGCCACTCTGAGACACTGCGCCAGTGAGCTTACTCCTGTGTTCACGGACATTTTCAACACCTCTCTGCAGTCCTGCCATGTCCCGGCCTGCTTCAAATCCTCCATCATTGTCCCCGTCCCGAAGAAGCCCAGGATCACAGGACTCAATGACTACAGACCTGTAGCACTTACGTCTGTCGTCATGAAGTCATTTGAACGCCTGGTTCTCTCCCATCTCAAGTCCCTCACCTCCCCCCTCCTGGACCCCCTGCAGTTCGCCTACAGAGCCAACAGATCTGTAGACGACGCCATTAACCTGGCCCTCCACCACATCCTACAGCACCTGGACTCCCCGGGGACCTACGCCAGGGTCCTGTTCGTGGACTTCAGCTCTGCCTTCAACACAATCCTGCCATCCCTGCTCCAGGACAAGCTCTCCCAGCTCAACGTGCCCGATTCCACCTGCAGGTGGATCACTGACTTCCTGACGGACAGGAAGCAGCGAGTGCGTCTGGGGAAGAATGTCTCGGACTCTCGGATTATAAATACAGGAGCCCCACAGGGCTGTGTTCTTTCTCCCCTGCTCTTCTCCCTGTACACCAACCACTGCACCTCCAGCCACGACTCCGTGAAGCTGATCAAGTTCGCGGACGACACCACCCTCATTGGACTCATCTCCAACAACGATGAGTCCGCCTACAGGAGGGAGGTGGACCGGCTGGTGTCCTGGTGCAGTGGTAACAACCTGGAGCTGAACGCCCAGAAGACAGTGGAGATGATTGTGGACTTCAGGAAGAGCACTGTCCCCCCGCCCCCACCCTCCGTGATGGACTCCCCCATCACCTCTGTGGAGTCCTTCCGTTTCCTGGGCACCACCATCACCCAGGACCTCAAGTGGGAGCCGACCATCAGCTCCCTCATCAAGAAGGCCCAGCAGAGGATGTACTTCCTGCGGCAGCTCAGGAA